GCCTTGCACATCCCGGCTTGTTTGTGCAAGTTGGGTGGGCAGCTCACTAGGTGGGTTCAGAGGGTAGTTAATGCATATTTGTTTGAGTGGGTTGGCCCCACCACCTTGAAGGAGGTGGTGGAAAGCCCATTCCCATTTTAAAAAGCCCTCCCTGGACCCTGAGGTACTTGGCAACTGCTGTCATACCTCAGCTCCCGAACGCCTTGGGAGTCAAATGTTCCGGCTCCCAAATGATCGAAAACTGGAAGTGAGTGTTCTGGGTTTTGAACTTTTTTTGGAAGCCGAATGTGCAGCGTGGCTTCCGCTATTGTTGCCTGCACAATTGGGAACCAATTGGAAGCCACGCCTAGGTTTCCGAACTTTTCAGAAGGCGAACGGACCTCCGGAACAGACAAGGATAGTGTGACCCTGTTGCTGCTCTTGGATCTCCCACAGCTTTTGATACCATTCACCATGTTATCCTCCTTTACTTGCATGGTCGGTCTAAGAAAACAGCACTGTGGAATTATGTTCCTACATCCTGGCAACTTAGCTGCTGGGTCAGATGCAGATTTAGAAGAGCACGACCAGTTTGGTCACGTTGGGTGCAGAGCCTTGGGCACGCCACACCTATTATTTAGAATAGAACATGAGAGGCAGGGGGCGTCAAATTTTGGCATTGCACAGGACGCTGCTGAAATTGGTGACCCAAAGGACCACCCATTGCTAGGTGCCACAAGACACTATTTCATCCACAATGCTAGTTAACAGCCATCAGAAGGTCTTGGGCACAGTGCACCCAACTTCATTTTTCTATTCTTCTGATTTACACAGAACAACTGGAAGTGGTCTAACCACTACCTAGTCAATCTACATCATTTGTATGTTCTTGTTCCCCACCCCCCTCTCAGAATGACTCGTTGCTTCAGCATGGGTTGCCCAGTTTTCCAGCAAATCCACTCACCCCTTTTGGTGTGCCAGCATTGCAGGACGGCAGAGGCTCCACTGGGGCCTTGACAAGGGAACCAGGGTGCATAAGCCCCCACCATCTATCAGGAGCCGGATTCTGGCCTGCATCCTGTTTTGGCTAATGGGATGCAGGCTGGGGCTTGGCCTGTGCTGGGGGTGGAACCAACAGAGTGGGGAGGCTTCCTTCGGGTCTGCCCCCTGGCCATTTAAGCAGCCTGCACCTGGGGCACTACCTGTTTGGTCTTTGGCAGCTGCCTCAGAAGTGATGCTTTTTCCAGCATACAAAAGCAGTGGTGGGAGATCCATGATATTTTTGCTTCTCTTGTACTTTTTTTCAGAGAAACAGGAGCTCTGTTTCATGGTGGGGACTCGGCAATACAAATTTCAGCAAAAGAAGGGGAGTAGCATATATCTGTGGTTCATACAAGACACACAAAAGAACTATTTCTTAAAGTAAGGAGAGAGTTGTGTTGTAACTGGAACTTTTCTAGCACCATTTTTAAGGGTCTTAATGAAACCAACAAACAAAAAATAACCACAAAGCAGCAGATATTCTCAGGTGTAATTTCCTCCAGAATTATTCTAAGTCTTATACATCAGTGGAAGCAACAGGGGTTTCAGATTGCTAGCCTGGTAACATTACCAATAATCTAGCCAGGAATTTAGCTACACTCCTAAAGTCATTTATACACTGGTATGCGAGTCTTTGATGACTCTCCATTAAAGTAAATAGTCAATATTAGCTCTTGCAAGCCTGCAAACAGTTCTGCATCATAAAATTCTAGTCATTTCAACCACATTTTGAAAATAGATCTATTTATGAACCACATGAACTTTTCTCTTCAAAATGCTACAGGAAGCCTGAAAACATTTTTCCCCTTCCAAAACTGGGCTCCACATGTTGTTGTTTTTTAAAAAATCTACAAAAAGCTAGAAAATACTGGCCTATGAAGTAGCTCCACTAAAAACTCCCAGTGAAAATGTCTGGCCCAAAATTGATGCCCCAGCCTTTCACCATTCCCCAAAACCTTCCCCAAAAATAATCTGATTATGGTGAGGACATTTATACATCAGGTGATTCTTGAGAACTTAACCATGGTCCACTGGTCCAGCATCATTTCTCCAGAACTGCTCTACATGCTTTACTGGAAGTGCATTCTACTATTTTGCAAGATAATGTTGGATATTTTAGGATGGTGAGGTGAAAAGGAGTGCCTGTACTTTCAGAAGTCATGTTAAACAGGAAACTGCAGTGAGTCGCAGCACATCTTCTGAACCTGCCTGCCCACTTCTGCAAATAAATAAGTATATACCCTCCAATTATTAGAAAAATAAGAGCCCTTGTGTGCTCTTTTGCACCATCATCGCCATAGTCTTAATTATTGCTCACTTTTGTAAGAATGGTAAACACATATCCTTGGATTTAAGGTGCTGTGAATTGGGAGTAGGCATGCTATAAATGCTATATATTTATTCAAATGAGGAAAATGTGTTATTGAATTTATATTAAAATAAATGCACTGATCAACATCATTCCTATTCTGTGGGCTGAGAAATGAAAAGGCGTTGTTTTCTTTATTAAATAATTTCAAGGGGACATGGAGATGTGTGGCTGGATAATGGAGGAAAATAGGCTTTGAATCGTCTGCAGCAGCTTATTGATTCTTGAATGATTTCAGGACAAGCATATTCCTTTTTGGAGAGAACTGTTTTAGGGCCTAAAACTTCGAAAGCAAACAGAAAATGGTAGTTATATGAAGATGTATCCTGCAGTTAGTTTTCATAGCTGAGCTGCTGTTGTTTTTAATAGAAATGGCACCTATGGTAAAATGGTAGGTGGGGGAGAAAGTTATCCTTTACTACCTCAAAAATAAACATGAATCGGTCATTATATGAAATTCGTCAATATCTTTCTAATTAAAATTCTTTCGTTAGGCTGTATGGTTTATTCATATTGTGTCATCAGTGCATCTTGGAAACCTTTTTCTTTATCTAGTTATTACACCGATATCCTCCTACCTTTCCTCTAAGAAGCTTGGCTTACATAGGTGCCTTATTTTCCATTTTATCCTCACAGCAACCCTATAAAGTAGGTTTGGTTGATGATTGGCACAAAGTCAGCCAATGAACTTTGTGGCTGAGCAGGGATTGGGACTTGGGTCTTCCTTGTCCTAGTCCAGCACTCTAACCACGATACCCCACTGTCTATGCTGTTCAAACTCACTAGCATAGGAGCCAACTTCTAGGGGCCAATGTCCCTTGCCCCTCCCATAAAATATTTGAGGGGGTTGCTCCCCCCCCCAAGTTGATGGGTGTTGCCATTCAAATGGTGTGTGTGTGTGTGTGTGTGTGTGTGTGCCATGTCATGTGATCGATTATGTGGGGCGGGGCTTACCTGCCCCCCCAAATATTTTATTCAAGTTGGCACCCCTGCTCACTAGATACTTTGGAAAAGAGAAGTAGTTAGATCCTGCAGTCTTGAATTGTGCACACAGCACTTGGTGATCAAAGTGTATTTTGGGTTGTCTCCAGGCTATTCAATAAACAAAGTTGCTCTACTTCTGAAAGGGAAATATCTCTTACCGGCATATCAGTTGGTTACATGCGCACTGCAATAGTTGGTCATGTTCAGCAGTTTGTTTGTTTTTTAATATTCCATTTATATCTTGCCGTTTCTTCCACCATGGAACCCAAGATGGTGTAATGTATTTTCCAGGCAGTCACCCATCCAAGCCCTGGCCAGACCCAGACCTGCTTAGCTACGATAAGGCAGAGCTCTCATGTGCCTTCAAACTATATCATGGGGCACAGTAGCTTGTATCTTTCCAATTGATAATCAGTAATGTTGGACTATTGCGGAAAGCACTTAATGCCAGCCTCCAATGTTTCTAAGAATTGCTTGGGCACATTAAAAATCCTCCTACTTATATACTTTAAAGAATCTGAACATGATTTACTTGCTGTTGTTCCACTAGACATATAAAAACCATAGAGACACTGACCAGGCTTCTTGACGAATACCCTCTTTAATACAGCTCTTCTTCTTTGGGAATAGTTGGTATCATAAAAGATTATAGCCTCTTTACATGACAAGCAGAAGGATGGGTGTGATTATTGAAGAAAGAGAATGATGAGGAGTCATAAGTTCACACATCTACAATAACATTATATCAATGGGAATGTAGCCTGGAAAAATGAATTTGTATTTATAAGTTGAGTCCTGCTTAGATAGTATTTTGCAGAACACATACATTATATTTTAAACAGAAATTATAAAATAAATTATGGGAGAGAGAATGGTCATTGCTTATGCTTCCTGGTATTCATTGGGAAATGTATTTCCCTAAACATGGATTTTAAAAATCTTAGAACATTTTTTCTAACTGTTGCAAGTAAATGAACATAGTGGAGCTTACTGCATTCCAGTGGTGGCCAAACTTGGCCCTCCAGCTGTTTTGGGACTACAATTCCCATCATCCCTGACCACTGGTCCTGTTAGCTAGGGATGATGGGAATTGTAGTCCCAAAACAGCTGGAGGGCCAAATTTGGCCATCACTGCTGTATTTACTCGGCTGCACCTTTTTGAGGCAAATTATGTCATTAGATTTGATGGTGTCAGCAAATACTTTTTTGGTTTCAAGGTTTTGAAAATTGAGGAGTGCACTAGATTTGATGGCGCATTAGATTCACGTAAATACGGCAATTTGTTTAAGTCACTTATGTGGAAGGACCATAGCTTAGTGGTAGAATAGACAGTGATGAGCTGGACTGACCAATGCTATGGCTTTATCTAAGCAGTGTTTGACAGCAGGGTGGGCTTGCGCTGTTCACCTGACATCATTCTGGGATGGTGAGGTATAAGGGTGAAGTGGCAGTGAATAGAACATGACTATGTGAAGTGTTTTAGATTATTAGTACTATTTCAATTTAAATTATTTTGGGATGATACGATTGAGCAACAAGGAAATGAAATGTAACACGGATCAACATGTTTTACATGGCTTTGTGACGAGTGCAACTTTCAATAACAAATATTTATGTTTCCTTGTAGTTGCCCCAACAATTCAGGAAATAAAATCGAGTGGAGTGACGCTTGGAGGGAGTGGATTCATAAGATGCGAAAGTGCGGGTGTTCCTTCCCCAGCTTTTGAATGGTTCAGAGGTGAAAGGAAGTAAGTTTGACTGTCAAACCTGCTTTCATTCTTACATGTGCTCTAGGATCTGTATATTACGTGGGCAATGAATCCGAATTTGGCTCCTCACAGGAAGCAGTCAGTCACTTGCCTGCATTGCTGATATCATGCAATTATGCCACCACAAATATCATAAATATCTGGTATACAGTGGAGTGTTGCTGTAATGCTGTAATGCAGGTAGAGGAGCCCACAGAGGTTGGTTACTGTATCTTAGACTCTGTTAGGATTACCAAGAGAAAGCAACTTGCATACTTGGACATTCTACATAAATAGAATATTTATGATCAGCACAGCATCTGGTTAAGCACAACTATATTCTTCTTGCAAATTAGGCATCATGAACGAGACAACACAAAAGCTTGAATCTAAAATATTATTTCCATTAAAACCCATGAAACAAGCAAAATGTACATTTCAAATAGCCTAATAAAGACTACAACTGTTATAATGGTCTAATATATTATAATATCATTAATGTATTCAAATATGAGCCTAAATATAGATATTTTTCAGGGCTGAAGCTGATTCGTGCTGTTCTCCAGCTTGGTCTTTCCCATTGTCTCTGAAGGACGAGTTAAATCTTGTAGTGCCGTAATTCCTCTGTGTAAATAACACACGCACATGCACAGAACATAAATGCTGCCTGCTTATGTTTTTCCTCTCTGCAAAGTGGCTGCTGTGTGTGTGTGTTCTGGGGGGTGGGGAGGAGATAATCTGAAATTCCAAAAATAAAGGATGAAATTTTAGAAAGGGGAGTTTGACTTCCTATGCATTTTCTTCCTCATGTGTTCCATATAGAAAACATACACTTTTAAATTAGAGGTTGATCTGAATTTAAAGCAAGTATAATTAGGTAATTTTATATTGGGATATGTTCGTCTGGGTACAGTGGGGATGCAGGAGAAGGCAGGTTTCAGAATTACCTGTGAGTACCTCATGACCTTGAGGTGACCAAAAAGTATGCATTAAAACAGACTCAGCAAACTTAAATTTGGTTTCTACCACCAGACTGCAGCTGGCTGAAGAAGGTTCATATCTGAATTCCATGTCTTTAGAAAGCTCTTTGAATGTAAAAAAAAAACATATCAGGGAGAAAGCTTAAGTAAACCATAGTCTCAATACAGTGTAGATCAATTCTATGATATGGAGTAAATCAGCCTTAAATTCCCTGTGATAATTCCAATGATATTGGATATTTCTAGTGCTTCTATGTTAATTAGCCCTTAGAAGCAATTAGCCCTTAATCAGTAGCATTTTCAAACAAGGCAGCCTTGTATCGGGAAGGCTTTTAATGTCTGACGTTTTGTTATGTTTTTGTATTGGAGACCCCCCTCCGCCGAGTGACTGGAGAAGCCCAGCCAGATGGGCAGTGGTAATAATAATAATAATAATAATAATAATAATAATAATAATTTCAACTGTTTTAAAAGCTGTTTTTATTGCTATTTTAATGAATATTATACTATTTTATGTAAGCAGCTTAGAGATTTTTTGAATAAGCAGTATATAAAACTTTTGTGAAATCAAAGGTAATATAATGGATCCTAATCAAGTAGCATCAGTATTCAATATTCACAATTATGTTTGTCTCATCATTACTCATTGCTTGCTCTTAAGTACTTCTGAATGCTTAATTTACACTTCAGCATTCGTGAATGAATCATCTTAATATGAATTGATTTTAGACTTCGGTAAACTTGTTAATATATGTATATTTTTCTTGGTTTGCTGCTGTACCACAGTAGTGAAAAGAAACTGAGAGTTTCCATCCCTTTTTGTCAAAATGAATTAAACAGCTTCAAACACTTGAAAATTACGCAAGTGAAGTTGAATTCTCAAAGTAAATCACTTAGAAAAAAGTAGATTAAACAAAGGTGAGGTTTCTAGAGATAATTATTCAAACCTATAATTCCTAAACGTTCATGTTTGCTCAATACAGCAATAACTCATGCTTCAGGGTTTTGAAAAGGACTATTTGTTTCCTACTAGTGTGTTGTCTACTGCTTTGAGATGACTAAACCAAATGCTATTTTATATGCAGGGCTGTGTACTGATTAAATAAAAAATAGGAGCATTAATGTAATGTAAAATATTAAATCATCAATATGCAGCTATACTATTAATAATGATAGATATGTATTTTGAGGCTGAATGCTGGGGAGGGAATTGTACCTCTCTCCCAGATTTATGATGTGCTGCCTCAATATATCAAAATTAAATGGTAACTTGTTGATATAGGCAAGAGTTCTGCTTTCAGGATGAAATATAAGCAATTCCCCGAGTAATCAAGCATAGCTAAGTATTTTCACATTTAACTATGCCTATCCAACTTCTGAATGTGGTTACATATGTCCTGAAAATAAATGAGTCCAAGAGAAAAATATTTTTCAAATTATCCACAGTGTTTACCAATTGCTCCTTCATCTATTTCTGGAAATTCCTATGCCAAGAAGTCTCAACCTTTGGTCATATGAAGACTCTAAATGTCACTTTTCTGACTGATGGAGTCTTCCTAAATTTGGCTTTAAAAAGAGCTGAGTGAAATTGGCCACCCAAAATTCTTCATACTGCTCAACAAGTGGCAAAATTGACCCAACAGCTTGTTGGGAGGAGAGCCCAAAGACTCAGGTGTGGTTTCATTAGCTGTGGCATAGCTTCTTTCTTCCCCCACCCAAATATTTTGTGGCCACTGAAAGCAGCATACCAGAACTTTTCTATTGACCATCCAACCACTATTTTGCATCTCCCACAATGCATTGGATGTAGTGTAATTTCAGGGCATTGTGGGAGGAATTGGCAGAGAATATTCAGACCTTTTTTTGGTAAAATGGCAGTCCTTTTCAAGTCTAAAAAACAAAATTTTCATCAAAAAATAATCTCTTCAGATATTTTTCTTTCTGAGAAATAGGGATCACTGAGTTGATAGAGTTCACCCTTCTTCTAATAAGTCCAGGGTGGAACTAATAAAGGAGTAAAGGAAATCTTCTCGATCAATCCAAGATGGAGCAGCATGTCTGTTACATGAAGCTTTCTCCTTTGCTGGAAATCTCTTCCACCTCAGTATGCAGACCCAAACTTTGGACACTCGTGCTATGCATTGATCTGTTGAGTGGAAGATTGGCCTCTCTGTTCCGGTCCACAGCTTTCTGTACACAAAATTTTCTGCAGCACTGGGGGCACCTTTCTAGCGAGCTACTTGCCTGCTAAACTTATTTGTATTTCCAGTCCGATACAAGCAATCTTCCGCAAGGATAGGAAAGGGGGGGAAGAGCGGAAATAAGCACAGTCACTAAAGCAGAAAGTTACATTAAAGAAAATACTGCTTCCCTTTTGCGTAGCAAGTGATAGGAAGGAGCAACTTTGATTCTTTATCGTTTTAAAGAAGTGAATCTGCAAAATTTCCCTATAGTAAAACAGAATGGGGCGAGTGAGCTTTCTATGGATAATATATGTGCTCTTGATGAAAAGAGAGAGTACGATCTCTTGAGAATGCAATACTACATTCACTTTGCTTGAATAAAAAAAACTCTGCTGTGAGACTTACCTTTAAATAAACACACATAAGGCTGAGGTCTAGTCACAGTACATACCATATACTGCTGTGCAGGGATTAATATACTTCTGCTGGGATTAAAATGTACCTGGCTGCTTCCTGACCTTCTTAAATGGGCTTTTGCTTTTCATAAGCTGCTCATTTAGTGTGAAAAAGTGAGCAATTCATAGAACTAAGGAAAAGCCATTATGATGTTCAAAAATCCGTTATGATGTGTAGTCGATGACAAAAAAAGATGGTGGATCATCTGCATTTACCAAGTCTGTTTTTAAGAAGTAATGGTGTTATATTGGATGTGTATTTCAAGATCGTTTGATGGGTGCACACCAATTGATTGGATGGCTATCGGTAGGAGGAATAAAAAGAAATGGGAGGAAAGGAAAGGACTTACAAGAGCAGTGGTGGAGAGAGAACTTAGCACCACTACTGGCAATAGTGCTGGTGTAGGGGGTCAAGCCAAATGTCTGGAATCAGTGCAGTCTAAAATAATATGCAAACACATGCGGTTCTTTGGAGAGGAGAGCAACATTTTGCATATGCAGAAGTAGCATTTGGGCTCAGGCAAGTGCTATTGATGTGTGTAAAATGGAACAAAGTTTAACTAAACCAAGCAGGTAATAGGAGACTTTCCTGATGGTGCAGGGGTTTGTGTTGAGAGCATCATAAATGAATCAACAGATAAATGTTCGGTGGACATATGGGTTCAGTTCCCAAAGCTGCCATAGACTTGCATGGCTCTTATAATGGTTCTTAGGGTTACTGATCATATGCAAAGAGTCCATGTGGGCTGTATGCAGGCATTTAGCTGAATGCAGCTATACAATCCCAGTCTTCCTTTACACACACATCCATTGCAACAAGGGCTTCTGAGAGTTCTTAATTTCCAAATCATCATCTTGATGAACTGGAACAACATAAGACTATTGGTATCAGTCCTGCTTTGCTCTGGAATACAAGTTCACCTGAAGCCCTTTGACCTGTCCTGTCTCCTGTTGGTGCCAGTATTCCCTACTCCCTTTGTAATGCCCAAGGAAAGCAAGAAGAGCCTTTCCTTACTCAGAGCTCTTGGGCCCAAGTCGTTTGCCAGCTTTTCTCTTGATTGCCCACAAAATGCTCCCTGAACTGAGCATCTCTTTCCAGACTATTTACCTATGGCGTTTCCCCCATACCACCTTCACTACTCACAACTGGGCTTGTCCCCTGTCAATTGGTAGGGAAAGGAAAGGTACCTTTAATCTATTTTTCAGCAAAAATGGAAAGCCCTTTGCTGTGGCAAACACCCTCATATACCCAATATGGCATCACTGCCATTCCTTGTCCATGTTATCCCATTCACTCCTCCATCCCAATCAGGTAAAACTATTGTTTTCCATCCACATGAGAGAAAAATGCAAAATATATTTGCCTATGCCTTCTAATTGAATATTTCCCTTTTCCTCCCTTCTAGACTGATCAATGGACAACAAGGGATTACTATTAAAAGCTATAGTTCAAGATCATTTTTAAATTTCAACAATGTGACGGAGGATCATTTTGGAAACTACACATGTGTCGCTGCCAACAAACTAGGCACAACCAATGCCAGCCTGCTTCTTAACCGTAAGTCAAAAAAAGATGGTGGAAAGTATTCTTGCTTAGGCTTTTTCTTTTACCCTCTCTACCCTGAAGAGGTCCACCTGCTTCATGATCTCTTGAAAAGTAATGTTGACTCCCACACATTTCTCTGAACAATTTCACATGCATTCATTTGGTGGTAGTTCTGAGTTGAAGTGACCCAGGATACAACAAGTCTGTTTCGTGATTATTTGGCTTCGTTTGGTTCAAGCAGAGTGCAAGAACATTGTACCTGGGCTGACCTGGGCAGGAGGAATCTCAGTCTTAGGGCTGGATCATACATGGCCTGGTAGGGGAGTTGTGCTTTTGCTGAGTATGGCTAAGACAAGTGCCACCATGTTTCATGGAAAAGTCTTACTCTGGAGTTCACCATACATGCCAACCAGTAGTGAATTTTGTAGGCAAAGGTCAGCCAGTTTCGTGAAGTGCTTTGCAAAGCACAAGTTCAGGGCACATGAAAAAGCAAATGAAAGTTTTAATACTTTGAGTAGGCCTCAGTATCTGCCATCAGTTCCTACTTAAGATTAATTCATTTCCTGAAAGACTGTTGTTTGATGTGTGTTACTTGCAGGTCCTAATGTTCTTTCATGTGTGTTCCGTTTCTGACACCTGTCGCATGTATGGGATATATCCCAAGGTATGAGAGGAAGTTTCTGGCTTGTACATCATTCTCTAATGTAGGACGTTGAATATGAACTTACTGGGGTTCCTACGCAAATAGGCTATGATAGTTTGCAGCCGTCTCATGAGCTCAGGTGAACAAGTGGGACATATACAATTAAGAAGCAAGTCCAATATACTAATGAGATTGCCACAAGGTTTTGCCTACAGGAATGAACTATTTATTTGGGTATGTGTGTTCTGGGAGCTGTAGATGTTTGCCATATCATACGCCATGCATAATTCTTTTAGAATTCAATTAGCTGACAATGAGCAATTCACTGACATATTTTATCGAGTGTTACAACAAATAGAATCTGACAAAAAATATTGCTCACTATTTTTTTTAAAAAAATAGACTTTGATTTCTTAATTAAAATGTTCATGAATAAATAAAGAGCTGGTGATACATTAGGAAGATACAAGAAATAATTGAGTGTCTGGAATGGAGTAATTAGAAAAGCTGCCAATACTGACTGAGGATATGGAGCCCCTGTTGGCCAGCTATCTTCATTCCCCTGCAGGATTGCAATTGGTGTGTGAAGACACAGCGATTTTATCATGGTTCTGTAACAAAGCCTTACTATAGCATTGGAGCAACTGATTCTATAAATGTAGAAGACAACACACCTCCGCTTTTGCAAAATTCCCACTATTGCAGAATCCTTGCTAATTAACTGTAAATTTTTGTCCCTTGAAAAGGATTTGGATACGTATGGAAGACTTCTAGTGATGGCATTTTTTTTCAACTTTAGGTGCTAAAGTAGTGGAGGTAATGTGATCCCAGGGCTGCTTGCAGTGTTTAACCACTTTCATGGTGAAAAATGTAAATGAGCAAGTTTGATTTACAAGCCGTATGTTTAGGAATGCCAACTTGTTTGTATGTTTGACTTGAAACTTAGACTTGGACACAAGGAGCATGGCCAGGATTTTGGTTGGAGGGGGGCAGGCCTTTTGTTGCGGTGGGGGGCAGAACCTCAGCTTGCTCTGTATTTTTATTGATTTAGTTTGTAGCCCCCCGCCCCCTTGGCTACACCCATGCTCAGATACAAGTTGCTTTGAACTTACAATTCATTTCATAGCAGTGAAACATGGGTGCATTGCTTAGAGTGGGCAGAGTAACAGGAAAAGTGTGCTTCAGTTGCCAACCATTTTGACCCATGGTGACATCTGCAAACCAGAGAAATTGTCATGGTCACCACACATAGAAGTAACTAAGCACACATCACAATCTTTTCTATTGGCTATAACAGAATGTTTCTTTCAAGCCTGGTATCATTGGGAGGCACTCGTTGTTTACCAATCATCTCTTTAGCTATAATCCACTCCACACAGTTATTGAATTCCTGCTTGTGGTTAGTAAAATGCAACGATCTTATTTCTTTCTGGGGTGGAGGGTTATTAATATCACATAGTGCAAAGAAAAGAAAAAGTTTTTTCCTCCACCCCCCCTTCATTCCAAACATACAGTCTCTTAATGGTGGTTCATCAGTTGATTTACTTATCCATCCGTCACTCCGGTCACAGAGATCCGTTAGTCAGCGGTCTTATCTCCCTAGCGTTGCTTGATGTATGTGCTTTAGCTTCATTCCAATCATATGTTTCCAATTATAATTCCGAGCTAAAGCGAACCAGCACACGCTGATTGGAACCGGCGTCAGGAAGAGCCGACCTCATCGAGGGCTCGTGCCAAGTGACCGGCACCCCCAACTCTCGAATCCGGGGGTGCGTTGTAGACACCACTGGCAAGGCAGCCCCCCATCTCCTTGGGGGGGGTAGGAAGACTGCATACTTCCCATAGCAGCCTCTTAATTACCTCGTATGGGTCGGAGAGATGTTATTGTCGGTCATCTTCCAATGCGCCACCTGGTGGCGGTCACCAGGAAAAGCTTCTATGGGCAAATGTCCACTAACAGATTCCATGTTGGGGACCCCTGATCTATGCTGTAGTACTAGTTTGTTCAGGGGCACCATAATTCCCCTTCATGGAGGAACATGTTTGTTTTGGAAATATGTTCAGAAAGACTTCTGAGAAATACTCATACTTGTGTTTGCTTAAATAGCAACGTACAGTACTAGAGACTGCTATGCTTACATTGTGTGGTCTTGTAACATTAAGTATTTGTCACAGATAATAATAATGATGAATTAGAAGTCAAGAGTTGGTGTTATTGCTGTAATGATGCACTCTTTTGTCTTATTGGTCACACAACCCTTTTGCAACTTACCTTGAATTGTTTGTTGATCACTTGTTTCTCTATGGAACTGAGAAAAAGACAACAACAACTTTGCTTTTGTTCATATACCCACACACAAAAATGTGAGAAAGGTGAATTAAGAGCCCTTGTTTAGCTAAAGTATGGTTAGTTCAGGATAAGTAACCAAGTGAATATATTAAAACAAAACCAGTCTTAGTATCTAAACATAGTAGAGAATGGATGGATTTGATTGTGCTCACATTTAAAGGTGAACCTACCTAGTCTTCACTTTCTGAAGCAATACACAAACTGAAATAAAACTACTCTTTAAAATTCACACTTCTCCGAATTTTGCAATGCAGGTCTCCAGCCAAGTAATGTGTACACATACTAGGGTAAAGTGTAAGTATAAATGCACCTGTTAGTGAAAATAACATTCAAAAGTGCATTATATTAAGTCATCTCCAAGTCGTGCACAGGGCACCCAATATAATAATTCTGAAAATGAGTAAAAACTATAAAATAAGAATGGAATTTAACAGCCTGCTTAAATAAAAAAAAAGTATTCAGTAAGCAGCAGAAATTCAACAGTGGGCCTTTCTGATGTCAACTAGAAGGGAATTCCATAAAATTGGGCCCACAGTTCTTAACACACAGCTCCTTGTGAATATGAGCTGTCTGTCTGAGCCATAAGAAACCACAAACCATGACTCACCTGAAAGCCTCAGGGATTGGACTGGTGAATGAGGACTTTTTATTTTTTAAAAAAATCAGAAACAGATATGTAAATGTGGAGAACTGAATTTAAGATTGGAAAATTAGAGAAACTGAAATTGACAGATTCACCCATCCCTATTAAATAGTTAACATGAGCCTGCCTGGTCTTGTAATAATCACCCTGGGATCAGGGGTGTGTAAAAGTACACAGATCTTTGTTAAGAAATACTACTGCATATTTTTAAGGTTTTGTTCCCCTGCAAAAGAGGCTTTTTCTTCCCCATTTCTTCCTCAGGCTTTGATATTCCCTTATTATTATTGCAGGGTGGTCAAGGGTGCTGTGTGTGCTTTCCTTTACAGTAAACACTCTAGCACTCTGCAGGCTCTCTAGCTGCCTCCACTTCCTGATATGAAAAAGCCCAGTGGGAGGGGTTATCTCATGATGTCTTCCCCTGGGATTTAACTAAAGTGAAAGCACCTGGGAAGGCTGCAGACTACAGACCACTGCTGAGATGACCTGCAGAATGAACATTCCACAAACATTCCTCAGCCACCTCATAAATAAGGTAAGCACAGCAACAACAACAAACCCTGCATCTCACACATGAGAATTTCACCAAACTTGTCTTTTCCCTTTGATAATCTTCAAATACAGTTTCCTTTCTCATTCATTGTTGGAGAAAGGTTCACAAAAAATATGAGAGACAATTTTCAGTACAGCAGTAGTATAAGAAGTTGATAAATGAGGGAGGTGATCATAATAATTGTTTCAAAGAAGTTACAGTGCTGTGGTCTAGAAGTGCCATTGGGGTGGGTGGATGGAACTCAAGTCTAGCTACTCAGTAATGTAATTGTTTGAAGCTAAACAGGTGTGTCCCTGATTATTTCCTAAATGATAGATCACCACATGTATGCTATGCAAATAATACTACGAATGGAATTGCTGAAGCCAGCACAAATGAGAATTTCTTTAAGGCGATGGGGATCTAGATGGCAGAATAGATGTTGTGAAATCTTTCTTCAACCTTTCCAGCTAATCAGTGCCTTGTGAATTTTGTGACCACATTGCCAAGAGCACTGGGGCACAACTTGTGGCTGAATAAACAACCTATCATCAGTAGACATGAAAAACGAAGCATCTCCCGATATCAAGGATAATATAGCAAGTCACAGAATTTTAATTATTTGTGATTAATCTTCTAGTCTATTCCAACAATATTATTTCTGAAGTATATAATATTAATATTTTGCTTCCAATACATACTGGAAGCTTTATGAGATAACACTGTCACTGTGTGGGTGTGTATACTGTATAGTCCCATCCTGCCATCTAGGGGCCCACCTTAAGCATTTTGCATTATTTACTTGGCAGGTTTTTGCACAGAGCTTCCTCTGCTTAGAAAGAGGAAA